GTGATATTTATGATGGCAATATTTGAAAAACCTTCGAAGATGAAAATTCAGAATTATTTTTTAGCAAAGAAAAGGCAGATTTACACTTAGAATTGGTGTTAAATATTGACTGGTTTCAACCATATGATAACAAAACACATAATACTGATGTTATATATGCGGCAATCGCTAATCTACCACGTGAAATACGGTTTAAGTGTGAAAATATACTGATTCTTGATATATTACCAGGCCCTAGTGAACCAAGTTTGCATCAAATAAATCATTACCTTTTATCAATTTTAGACGAATTGTTGCAACTATGGCAAGGAGTAATGTTAGATTCTACTGCTGAAAATAAGAACGGGAAAATAATTCGGGCTGCTTTGATTTTAATTTCATGCGATATTCCTGCAGTACGAAAAGTATGTGGACATATTTCGGCATTAATATCATGCCATCGCTATAAATTATGTCAACAATCAATATAACTATAGTGGTATGAATAATATGAACAAATGGTTTATACCAAGGGATTTGACAACCCATAGACGAAATTCTATCAAATGGAGAAGTTGTAATTCTAATGCTGCACAAAAACGACTTGTTAGCAAAAATCATGTCATGTGATCAGAACTTCTTCGGCTATCATACTTTAATCCTATTTGGTATTTAGTCATCGATCCTATGTACTGTCTTTTTTTGGGTATTGGCAAATGACTTGTTAAACGAATATGGATTGAAGAGGATATATTAACAAACAATGCATTGGATGAAATACAGTCGATAATGGAAAAGTTTCAAGTACTATCAGATATTGGACAAATCCCAAGAAAAGTAAATATTGGCGAAGGTTTCTCGAATTTTACTGCTGATCAGTGGCAAAATTTCTTTATAATATATGCAACCATCATTCTATGGAAATATCTTTCAGATACAGATTATCAAATTTTAATGAATTTTGTTAAAATATATCAAATTTTAGTATGCCAAATTATAAGACGAGACTCATTAAATGAAGCACAGAAAGATACAAGAATACTATATTACTTGATATAATAAATATAAAGAAGATGATATAATAATTATGATTAAATAAGATATTGCAAATTACATAATCAATATCACAACATATCCAGGTAGATATATCTATATACTACACAGACACCAAGGAAGCATACATATATCCAATCTCAAAGTTTGAAAACTTCAAACCAAGATTAGCACCGATACTTAGCACCTACGAAATCAATCACAGAATTTGGGATATCCCTCAATACTTTTTCAAAAAAGATATCATAACAGGATCCATTAAATTCAGTCCTATTGAGTACATCCAGATGCAAACAACAGAACCATACAAGTTAGCAGTAGTAACCTTTACTTACCAATTAGACTATGATACAGCCATAAATAATTGATTAATAATGATAAAGGACATAACAATAAGAATGTTCCCATACTACCATACAAGAGAAACGAGACTAAAAAAAGATGAATTCAGCATTACACTAATCAAGTTTCCAAACTCGATGACAGCTTAAAACCTTAGTGATATTATACAACAAGTCAGTGCCAAAGTGTGTTACACATCACAAACAAAAGAAATGTTTAGAAGATTTGCAAGTTTAAATTTCACCTTTCAGGAGAACCTTACCAAAGCAATAGTAAACGATATCAATTTCAAAGGACTCAAGCTTATATGGGCAACTAGAACAATGAAACTTTGCCACTACTATGGGGACACTTAACACATAATTACAAATTGCAATATTAAACCTTCGGACAATGCTCACATAAGACACAAAACATATCCCAGAGACAGATTCCCCACATATCAAAAGGAAACACACTAT